ATTTTAGTTAAATAGCATATGATACAAATTTCTTTCATAATGTAATAGCATTTTCATTCTAGTAACGTCACTATTTGTACACTGTTTTAATATGTAAGTAGATAGGGTTTCACAATTAAACACAAAACACAAAAGAGACATATTTAAAATGTGAAACATCAATGCCACTATAGTAGTCATATATATATGTATATATATATATATATATATATATATATATATATATATACATATATATATATATATATATATATATATATATATATATATATATATATATATATACAGTCGCGATCAAAAGTTTGGAACATTTTAGAAATTTGCAGAACATTTGAAATATTTGTTTAAAAATATTTTTTTACATTGAAATTTTTGAGTATTATTATTATTTACATGCGAAATATTATGTTATAAAAGTCTAAACTTGTTTTAGCCATAGCTTGTTGTTATTTTAGGAAAAAATAATAAAATAATTATGGGAAAAACTAAAGAATTAACAACAGAAAAACGTTCTCAGATTATTATTCTACGTGAACAAGGACTGATCTTGACTTCTATTGCTGCACGTTTTAACGTAACACATAGCTGCATTATAAAAAAATTAAAGCGATATCATGAAACTGGTGATTTTAAAAGCAAAGCTAGAACTAGACAACCAAAGTTGACTACTAACAGGTCAGATAATTGCATTCATCGTTATACAAAAGCACATCCGTTTGCCAGTGCTTCTGAAATTTCATATGAGATATTCCTAACTGGTGTTGCACCAAGTGTTGTGATAATTAGAAGACGTTTGTGCAAACAATTTAACTTAAATAGCCATGTTCCGGGAAAAACGGCCTTGACTTTCTAAAGAAAATATTAGAAACCGATTTGTCTTCTGTCAAAAATACAAGCACTGGTCAGCAGAAGATTGGGAGGATGTAATATTTAGTGACGAATGACTAATCGTACAATTTGGTTGTTGTTCTACAATCGTTAGACGCCCGCCTTGCCAACGATACAACCCCAAGTATTTGCTTTTTACTTTAAAACATTGCCCTAAAATCATAATATGGGGTGCCATTACAGCAAATCAAAGTGGTGGTTTATGGTTTATGTCTTCTAACACCACAATAAACAGCAATATTTATCTTTATATATCTAAAGAAAAATTTAAAATATTAATGAACATTACAAATACCCACAAGTTTCAGAATGACAAAGTACCCTGTCACAGGGCCTAGCTTGTGAGCAGTTGGTTGCGTGAGAATGGGGTTGAAATCATTGGCCCCTGGCCGGGTTACTCACCCGACCTCAATCCCATTAAAAACTGCTGGAATCATCTTAAAAACAAAGTTCAGAAACTAAGACCCTCATCTTCGGATGATCTATAAGAAAAAATTAGGCAGGTATGGACTCAACTTATGACTCCTGAATATTTAAGAAAGCTCATTCACTCTATGCCTACTCGCATAGCTAATTGTTTAAATGCTAAAGGACATCATACCAAGTATTAATCTCTAGTATTCAATTCATAAAACATTAACTAATGTTTCAAAGATATTATTTTTGTCAATTGTAATGGTTACTAATATATTTTGATAAAATAAATGAATAATTTAATGAAAATTGTGTTTTTTTATGCAATGTTCCAAACTTTTGATCGCGACTGTATATATATATATATATATATATATATATATATATATATATATATATATATATATATATATATATAATTTTATATCTAATCAAACGCCATTAGACTAAAAATTTTATATATATTGTTGATACCTTTAATAATATACCTCATATTATTAGATATTATATCTTTTATTATAAGATATATATTTTATTTTATAAGATATTAAATCTTATATTATATGATATTATAAGTTATAATACCTATTTAATCTAAATTATCATGAATAAATAAAATAAAAAAAATTTTTTAATACTATTTACTGTATGACATTTCAAATGTTTGATTTTTTTATTAAAGAAGACATTTTAAATGTCTTCTTTAATAAAAAAAAACAAATCGAACATTTGAAAAGTTTGATTTATTTAACAAAGATTAATAAAAAAATCAAACATTTGAAATCCCAATACAGCGGAAAGTATAAAAAAAAATAACTTAATGATCTTACACAAAACTAATTTGATTATTGTTTTTATAATTACATTGATAATTTAGATTGTAGTAAAATGTTATAAGCATATTATTTAAATGTTAATTAATATTCTCTTATTTAAAAAAATAAAATATTAAGTCACGAGAATCTCTTAAAGTTTATTTCTTATAAGGAACCTTTTAAGATTCTTAGAAGATAAATAAAAAATTTTTTTTTTTTATAATTTAAAAAAATTAAAGATAATATCAACACCTTTTTTCAATTTGTAAAACGATACAAGTTTTAAAAAACAATTTCGCAACCAATATAAAGATATACTAATCCGCCACTCTATTGGTCGAACAGATTTTTATAGTAAAATGTTAGGTGTATTCTACATTGGCGAAATGTTGGCCCAACATATACGTTGGGCCAATGTAAGCTTGTTGTGTGGGAAGGTTTATCTCCAAATAGACAAATTTGTAAAAAAAAAAAAATTTCGGATAGTGACATTTTAAACTATAATGCTAACGAAACAGTTATTAATTATAGAAAAACACTTTTCTTAACAAAGTTATGAATACAATTATTTCTAAATTTGAGTTACGTTTTGCTAAAAATCCAACAATTCCAATTTTTATTGTTTAAAACCTCGTCAAATTTTTAAAACATTACCAGTTCAAGTGTAAAAAATTAAAGTTTAGATGCATGAGTATTATAAAGAGTTACACAAGAATCTTAAGAAAAGTTTAAAACAAAGAATTAAATAATTTGAACATGATCTTGCTGTTAACTCGAAGTTAAATCCTAAATCTATATACGCGTATTTTAATAATAAGATTAAATTAAAAGATTAAATGGTAAAAAAGTAGCTGATACACTGAATGAATTTTTTGCCTCAGTTTTTACTAAAAGTGACAGTTCTCAACTTCCAAAAAACTTTGTGGAAACTTTAAGCTGCTTTCAAGATCAGGAACTTTACTTAAGTTTTAGTTATGCACCAATATTATTCCATTACTTTAAAAAGATAAAAAACTTGATCCACCTAACTAGAGACCGGTTTTGTTAAAATTTATTGTGTGTACAACAATGGTGAGGATTGCTAGGAATGATAAAATGTCTAACTGATAACAATTTAATTAGTGTGAACCAACATGGTTTGTAAGCAATAAAAGTTGTGTTTCAAAATTGTTGAAAAAACTTGATTACATTACAGACTCGGTTAATGAAAGTTAGGCATTAATGATCCTTTTTCTGGACTTCGCTAAGCATTCGACTCGATAAATCATGAGAAATTATTATTTCAATTAAAAAGCCTCAGATTTGAATCTATAGTATTAAATTAGTGTAGAGGCTTTTTAAAAACAGATCGTAGAGTGTGGTTTTAGGTAACTTTGTATAAGAATGATAGGTGGTTGTAAGCGGCGTACCACAAGGTTTCGTTTTAGGTCCTCTTTTTATTTGTTGTGTTTATTAAAAAAATAACAAAAAATATCAAATCACATTGCAAAATGTTTGTTGGTGACACAAAACCTTTTCGAGCTATCAAAAATGTAAAAGATTCAGTTGACCTACATTAAGATATTATTTTGTTAGTAGAATAGTCAAACGAGTGGTTAATAAAACTTAATCAATAAAAACGCAAAATAATGATAGTTGGTAATAGTCAATAATTCGAATTTATAACCGACGGCGAAAATTTAGTGAATACAAGTTTGGAAAAAAAATGTAGAAGTTCTAATTTTAAACGATTTGAAATAAAACAATCTTGTAAACTGTGTAGTGAACAAAGCGAATCAAAAACTTCCTCAAATCAAACATGTCTTCCATTATATGATTGAGATTATGATGAAGATGTTATTTCTCTCAATAGTTAGACCTCACTTAATATACGCGGCCACAATTTGAAACCCGTACTAGCAGTTTTATAAGGATAAATTAGAGAAAGTCAAACAAAGAGCAAATAGAATCGAAAATTTAGAAGGTTATAACTATGAGGAAAGACTTAAAAGACTGGATGTATTATCGCTTAAATTAAGAAGAAAAAGAGGAGATTTAACTCAAATATTCAAGTATTTTAAAGTGTATGACTAAATTAATTTATACCGTCTACCAGAATATATTATTAATTAAAGAAAATCAAGGAGTCAGAATTAAAAGTTAAGAAGGCAATTAACAACCAACATGAAAAGGTTTAACTTCTTTACAAATAGAGTAGTGAATGATTGAAACTATCTTGAACAAGATACGATAGATGAAAGCACTGTCAATCAATTTCATAACAAGATAGACAAATGTTAAAAATATTTGCGATTATTTTTATCGAAACTATTTAGTTTCGTTACAGCTGTTACAGCCTCGAACTCTGCGTACTTCGGACTCAACTCTTAAGAAATTGAGTGTTTCACATATTCTATTCTAAAAAATGCTCTTACTAGTTATGTACTACGGTTTAAAATTATTTTTTAGGAAATTAAACTATTTTTTTGTTATATTTTTTAATAAGTTGGATAAACCTGAATTTAATTTACCTGGAACTTATAAAAGTTATAAATCTAATAATAAAAATGAGCTACCTGACTAACAGTTTGAAAAAATTTTAATTGAACCAAGAAATTTTAAAATAACTAGTTTTTTTTTATTGTTTTTTTACCTGTTAAAAATTTTTTAAAATCATATTGAATCATAACTAAAATTTATTTATTTATTTATATCTTAATACAGCAATAATACAAAAAGTAGGAAAAACTTTAAAACAAGGAAAAACAAGTTGATTATTTTAATATTAAAAGTATGCCGTGACTCGTGATGCTTATTTTTTAACAAACATAAAATACATTTTAAATGTGATTTGTTACATGTATCATAAAAAAGCATTTATAAAAAAATTAAAAAAGATAAATTACTTAATATATTCAAACTTTTATTTAATAAATTTTGTACAAATACTTAAGCATATAATTGAGTCGCAAATATGTCAACCCAGTCAAAAAAAAAATAAAGCTACTCTTTCTAAATTAAAAGCAAATAAAGAGTTGTTTCTAAATATTTTTATGTAGTTATCAGTTTCGAAAAAGTGTGACAAAATAATTAATTCTTTTTTCATTAAAAATAGTATTGACTACGATATGTATATATTTTAATGTTCTATTAAACTAATTAGTTTGAGATTTTAATTAAGGCATTATTCATTTCAAATTAGTAATATAACATTTTCAAAGTGTATTAATTTATCGATGAGCTTATTATCATTAAACTCATAATTACATAAAACTCATATATACATATATTATTATATAATATATTATCATGTAATTAATATATATTAATATAATTCGTATATTATAATATAACTCATATATTATCATATATTTTTTAAATCTCGATTTAAAAAAACTTCAATGTAAAGTTATTTATTTTATTATTTTAGAAATTGTAATAACTTTTCTCAAATATACTTTAAAAATTAAATTAAAAATAGAAACAATTGTTAACTCTTTTGCGTATTCTATAAATGCCTTTGAAAACTGAATTTATATTTAGAAGAACACTTTCAGAATATTAAAAATTGTAGTTTTTCTTCCATTTTAATTAGTGCACAAGTCCAATTAATTATAAAGTAATTCAGAAACTATATTACATGTTTTTATACATAAGTCAGTACGTTCCGCTTTTGGTAGTAAAAAGTATCCTTTGCATTTTGAAACAACTTCACTCAAAACTTCGTAATGCCTTTCTAGATTACTTTCTATCATTGATGCGGTTGGTCTGTTACTTGGTAAGGTCTCTACGCAATTGTTAATTAGTTTACCAAATATGATAGGTTCCTTATTTAGCACAACTGTATTATTTTCAAAACTGTGCATTTGTCCAGTTATTAAGTGGTATATTGTCAAACCAAACGTATAAACGTCAACTTTTTCGTTATAATTGCCAGTATGAAACTCTTTTGGCATATATGCATTTGGTCCTAACACAGAGTGGTTCTGAAACTTGTCTTGTAGCCTTGAAATCCCCATATCACCAATTTTTGCTACATAGTTATTTGTTATGAATATGTTGTCAGGTCGAATGTCTCTGTGTATGTAATGCTTGTCGTGTATTCTTTTCATACCTGATGCTATATTATATGCTATGGACACTCTGCATCTGTAAGATAAATCTGGCTCATTTTTTAAAAGCTTAGTTAAACTTCCTTTCTCCATGTATTCTGTAAGTAAGTAAAACTTTTTTATGCTTTGATTGTATACTATACAGCTGCCATATGCTTTGATGACATAGTTGCTGTTAATTTCGTTATAAGCCAGTACTTCACGAATGAAACTTTGATATAAACTGTTTACGTCTAAACCTAAAATCATATGGAGAGGATGCCATTCAACAATTTTGCAAACTACTATTTTGTTTTTTGAAATTAGTTTTGCTTTATGTGCAGTACCAAATGCTCCGCTACCTAAACACTCTAAAAGTTCTATATCAGCTGGGTTCACATTTCGAATGCTATAAGATATAAGTAAGGAATGTTCTGCCTTATGATTGCCTATATCTTTTTTTTTTTCGAAACATTTATAGCACAAGTCAAAGTCATTACATTCATCACATTTAAATCGCAGACCAAATATTGGATGAGCATTGCACCCATCGCACGTTACCTCGTGTTCCACCCCATTAAACTTATTTTTAAAACTGTCGAGAGTAACATTTTCCACCTCAATCTCATCTCCAAATATTTCTTTTGGTCCACTGTATCTAACCATTGGGTGTCCTTTGACATGTGGCAAAGTTATCTTTCTTGATTCAAAGCACACTCCACAAAGATCGTAGTCTTTACACACCAAACATTTATAACGGTCGACTACAAAATCAGTTTTATTGCAAACATCACATTGAACATTTTGATGAGCAGGACTATTAATGCTAAAATAACCATACTTATTTGCATCAAGAAAAATATTATGAACTATGTCATTTAAGACGTCGAATAAGTTGTCAATTTCCTTTTTATCACAATCAGTATCAGATTTTGATTCATTAGATCTGCAGTTTAACACATTTAGTTTCGCATCACTTTGGTTAGGTAATAAACCAACTAATAAGTCTGATTTTTCTGAGTTCTGTGAATTATTTTGAACAATTTTTTTACTTGCTACATTGCTGTTACCCATAAGTTTATATAAGTAAAATACGTTGACTATGTTACTAGAGCACAATAGACTTGAACGCTATAACTGAATGTTAAAATCGAGTAAAGAAATATGTAAAAGAAAAAGTATTAAAATAGAAGTATAATTAGATGTATATATATGTGTAAATATGCATATATTTATATACATATATATATATATATATATATATATATATATATATATATATATATATATATATATATATATATATATATATAAATATATATATATATATATATATATAAAAATAGAGGTATAATTAGATGTATGTACTTGTGTATATATGCATACATTTATATACATTTATATATATATATATATATATATATATATATATATATATATATATATATATATATATATATATATATATATATATACATGTATATATATATATATTATATATATATATATATACTATATACATATATATATATATATATATATGTATATAAGTGTATGCATATATACATATATATATATATATATATATATATATATATACATATATATATATATATATATAGATATATATATATATATATATACATATATATATATATATATATATATATATATATATATATATATATATATATATATATATATATATATATATATGTATATATATATATATATAAATATATATATGTATATATGTATATTATATATATATATATATATATATATATATATATATATATATGTATATATACATAAATATTTGTAAATATATGTATATATATACATTAATATTTATATATACATATATATATAAATATATATATATATGTATATATATATATATATATATATATATATATATATATATATACATAAATATTTTTATATATATACATATGTATATATATATATATATATATTTATATATATATATATATATATATATATATATATATATATATATATATATATATATATATATATATATATATATATTTATAAATATATGTATAAATTAATATTACGATTTACAGGGTAAAAGATGGTACTTATATCAATCAGGAAAACAAGATGAAGGGAGCGACTTTTTAAGAATTGAATTTCAATAAATAAATTTGACATTTTAAAAATTTTGGGTACTTAGGAACAGTTACAGTAAAAGAATGAGACTTAATTGGATAACAAGTAACATTCGATTGATTTTTAGTATATGATACAAGAAACGCTAGCTTTTTAGAGCAGCACCCGTTATAGTATTTATAAAAAAAATAAATAAAAACGGCATTACGACTTAATGACAATAGTTAAAGGTTGGGTATAAGAACAGGTGTAACTATGTTTAAATAGAGTTTTTCGCTTTTTGTATAAAAAAAGGGCGTAATTTGAAGATCTGCTTTCGACATGGCAAGATTCCATACAAGGACATACTTAAAGTTAGTAGAGATAAAGAATCAAATTAGTGAAAAAGATAATAATTAGCAGTACAAAAAATGCGAACATAATAAAAGCATGCAAATTTAGCAGAAATTTTGAAATGAATTAGATATATGGATTCTGAAGAAAGAATGGAAGTTAGAGTTAATTCTTGAAAACAAAGAGTAAATGTATTACTGATCAAATGTATTATCGCTCATAAATATATGAAGATTGTTGCAATAACAAATAGTTGAAAAATATTTATATGAGTTTTATCTAAGTTAAAGTTCACCAGCCACTGAGAGCCCTATTTAGTAGCAGAAGTGAGATCTTTTTCAAGCTCAAATCCATCATCTAAGCAATTAGAGAGTGTTTGCTTTCTACCATGATAATAATAAATGGTACTATCATCAGCAAACAATACCACCTTAGATGTAGAAAATTCTGGATATCGTTAATGTGAATTAAAAACATAATAGAGCTTAAACAGATTAAACTTCAATTTTTAGAAACCTTGTAGGCACATGTCTACAATGTTACTGAAATCCCCAAAATGGAACTTATGCTGTATAAATACTTTTTAAAGGCATTTTATAAGTCATATAAAAAAAGCAGTAAAAGTGTATTTAATAAAACAGTTAAAAAAGTTAGATAGACAAGATTTTTCATGCAAAACTACAAAAAAAGCCGAGGAAAAATGCAAAAAAACATTAAATGTAGTTAAATAATTTGATAAATCTAAAGAGTTTTGATGAATATAATGTAATTGTAATATAATGTAATGAGTTTTGATGAATATAATGTAAAAGTAACTGAATGTAAATTTTGTAATCTTAAAACTATCAAGCAGATTTGTTTTATGTAACATCAATCCTGTAAAATTAGATAATGTAATCAACTGTTTAACTTTTTATTTAAAATTATTAAAGTCCAAGAAAAACAAAAGATTGCGCTAATAACGCCGATTTTTACATAAAGAAAGTATCATTTATTATATACTTCAATTTATTTTACCATGTTTTCAAAATTGCTGAAGAAAGTAACGTATATTAATGTTTTTAATCATTTGCCTAACAACAACAAACTATACTTAAAAAGTTTGGTTTAAAGATTAAAATAAACATGCAGTGGTTTAACAAGTTAATTTATATTAAGAGTTATATTAAACTTTTTTATTATTTTAATATTAAGAGTTATATTAAATATATTTAATTTATACTAAGAGTTATATTAAGAGTTTATATTATTATACTATTTTGTCAAATGCTTTGAATAACGTGAACCACAAAATATACTAATAAATAGTTGAATTCTAAAAAGCAAAAACCTATAAATTTTCCTGGTTCAAAAGTTATTTGATCAAAGCAAACGGCTTATATAATATAAAACAAAAAAAAATATTTTTATGCTGTAAGTTGTCGGACTTTAACACTAACAATGTGTATTAAAAACAGATATTTTTTTTTACAGAAAAAGTATATGTTTTTACTTATAAAAATTTACAAAATAGATATGATTTAACAGCAAAGTAAATAAAAAATTAAATAAAAAACAGGTTACAACCTCGCCTCAACTCTCTAACTCAGAAACAAAAACCTTAACGAATAAGGCAGCTGCGCGGTGAAATAAGTTAAGCACGGTACTACCAAAAACATATCTATATATCTATCAAACACGTAGGTATCTACCAAACACGTGGATATCTACCAATAACGTGGATATCTATTAAACACGTTGATATCAATCAAACACGTGGATATACATTGAGTGTATAAATTTAAACTTTGCAACAAACTTAATTTATTTTTGAAAACAATTTCGATTTTTATATTTACACAGATGTAATAAAATACTTTTTAAAACATCAACGAATAAATTCGTCATATTTCATTATGTAAACAAAACTTAAAACTTTTACATTAAAATACCAAAATTTAATAATAAATAAAACGGAAACTTAAAAATAAGTTAGACTTTTATAATGAACAATTACGTCGGAACTTTTTATAATGAACTTTTTATAATGAACTTTTTATAATCAACTTTTTATAATGAACAATTACGTCGGAATGTATGTATAAACACTATTAGGCAAGTGTATAAAAAAATGTAACAATTATATAATAATTTATAATAATAACCTTTATAATCATAAAAAAGTTTCTTTTTTTTTTATTGCTTTCTGACTTAAACTGTAAAATAGGGCTTTTAGAATTTTCGAATCTTTCAAAATATTTAAATTTTTTAAAACATTCGAATCTTACTTTCATTAAAATCTTCACAAAATCGAAATAAATATTTTGGTTCAATCTCAAAAGATAATATTAACTTAACATTATACTCAATTCAATATTGTAAAACTTACTTCTGGAAATTGTTACTCAAGATTGTAAATACATAAAAAACTTAAATTCAAAAAAATAATTAAAGTTAAAACTTTAAATCATAAAGTAAATGTTTTCTATATATAAACTAGCAGTAAGCAACCCATAATACGGTTGTTAGTAAATAAATATAAAAAAAAAAACGCGTATAGAAACGTCTAGAAACTGCTTTAAAATAGAAAATTATAGAAACTGACGTATATCAACTTGTAAATACTGATAAATTAGCTTCTGAATATTATTAGATTTACATTAAAAGTATCGTTAAACAGCAATTTAAGTAAAAAAGAAAATAAAAAACTTGCAGCATTTATTTTCTTAACTACTTTTAATTTAATATAAATGTTTTATTAACTCAAATGTGCCGTAATAATATTATTGTGAAATCCAAGAAAAAAACTTTCTTATATTAAAACTGTTGTCAGCATTAATTACAATTAAGTTAAAAATTAGTAACAAATAAAATTAACGTTTTTAAATAGAAAAGATACTTTATCAATGTGTTGTAATAAATGTCGGTTAATTCTTCATTTTGTGGATATTATCTAAAGACATCCAAACTGTGCAAATGTATAAATGTTTGAAAAGCAAGTCACGTGAAGTATTCTGAAATAGTCTTTATATATTTGATTAACGAGTGAAATTATGTTAATAATGTTAGCATATGATATTACTTTCGTTTTTAAGAAACAAACAAAAACAAACGATAAAATCTTAAAATGATAAAAAAAATGTATACTTTTTTTACATTTATTGTTGAAGTAGATAAAAAAAATGTATTTATAGTTACTCACATAAAAAACATCGTTTTTTGACAAAAAACAAAATAATAGATTAAGTTCTGACGTCAAAACAACTTGAAGAAAAAGCGAAAAAGACTGTTTAATCGCCGTGGAATAAATACGAATTATATAAAAAATTAGGTCGAATTGGGCTAATAAGATTTTGTTGCATTTTAATACTATTTTACTTAATTTATTTTAAAAAAAATAGATTTTTAAAAAATAAATTTCATACTTTCCATTTATGCATAATATAAAAGATTTTATATACGATTATAATATTTCACTCATTAAATACATTCCGATTTGAATTTAAACACAATGGATAAACGTTGTTATCAGTTATGTAATATAAATCCATATGGGCAACTCCGCAAAAATTACACACGCGGATACATGTGGAAGATATTAAGGTATGATATGTGACGGCTGCGGTTTACTTTGTCTTCATATATATATTCATATATATATATATATGCATCTATATATATATATGCATCTATATATATATATATGCATCTATATATATATATATGCATCTATATATATATATATGCATCTATATATATATATATATGCATCTAAATATATATATATGCATCTATATATATATATATGCATCTATATATATATATATGCATCTATATATATATATATGCATCTATATATATATATGCATCTATAGATATATATATGCATCTATATATATATATATGCATCTATATATATATATATATATATGCATCTATATATATATATATGCATCTATATATATATATATATGCATCTATATATATATATATTTATATGTATATATTAAAGCAAGTAATTTTAAATACGAAATATTGTTTTCATATACATAACTAAAAACCTGAATAATTGTTATTGTATTATAATAATAAAAAAAATTTGTATTATATATAATAATATTTATTGTTGTATTACAATAATAATTATGTGTAAATAATAATGTATATATATACACATTATTATTTACATAGTACGGTTGATGTCGGGTTTTAACCTAATTATTTTATAACAAAATATATAGTTACCGGTTGTGTATTTTAAACAACCAACTTTCTACTATTTAGAAGAAAAGAGAAAATTAAATAAGTACATTGTCTTCATATATTTTCATTATGTTCAAATTATATAATACATATAACAAAACACAGCATTTTTTACACAATTAAACTGAACAAAACATTTATTGCTCAAAAATTATGAGTTCCACATGTGACAGTAGAATATCCCCACTTAAATTATTCCATTCCCCTATGAAAACCTCCACACGAGATTTGTGGTAGATTATTAGATCCGTCTGAATTATTAGATCCCATTGCGTAAAAATCAAAACGAGAATGCGCTTTCAAGCTATTATGTTTAAAAGTGTTGCGTTTGAGTCCGAATAATTGATGTTTACACAAAGACCATCTAGTTAGATAAAATCTAGTTACACTTAGACCATTAAAATCTAGTCAAAGCATTAACTTTAAGACATTACGTAAGACGAAAAAAGGAAGTAAAATTTGTTTCAATTTCAAAATTTGTCATATACATCATTATCAAATACACACAGTAAAACATTGCTAAAGACGAAAAAAGGAACTATAATGCAGTGGCGGAACTTCAAAATTTGGCCCCCCCCCCCCCCCCCGCAAAAGAATTTTATTTTTGCAAAAAAGAGTTTTATAGTATAAATATTATTGAGAGTATAACTTTTTTTATATGAGGGACCCCTATAGCTGGCAGGCCCCCCCCCCCCGAAACGCAGGGTCCTGCGTCCAGTAGTTCCGCCACTGCTATAATGTATTTCAATTAGTCATATAAAGGATTATCTGATTTGATAATCCTTTATAATCTAAAGGATTATCTAATTAGATAATACACATATACATAATGTATTTCAATTTTCTATATAAATTATATGACAAATTGAAATACATTATGTATATGTATGTATATATAATAAAGGCTTACTGTGTGAATTAGCTAATTCACATGTTAGGCCTTTGTTATGTATACAGACATACAGTTGTAAAAGTCATTATGAAGACCATCCAAACCAGATTAGATTCCTCGCAGGTTCTGGTTTAAAATAACAATTGAAGAAATTTTAAATGCAGATGATGGCGGCTGAAGAAGTTAATACAGCATTATAAATGGTTTCATATTAAGGCATCTGTTCTTCAGTATTTATTTTGTATTTTGTTTTTTGTAATTTTTTTTTTTAACAAGTCTAATTTTTTTTTTGTTACAGAGATTTAATAGTATGAGTGTTTTGTTTTAAAGTTGGTTTGAGGTGAATAACGTGTAACAACAAACTATGGAAATAATTAACTGCACTGCCCTGGGCCTCTATTTGAATCAGGCTATGATTATCTTATGCATATATTGATTTATATATTATAATTGTATATTGAATCATCTATTATTGTTTTTCCTAGTGTTTGTAAGTTATATACAAGATATGGTGCTCTTCATGGTATGTGCTAAATAGTATTATTATTATACTATAATATTAACACTATATTATAAGATTATGTTTATATGACTATATTAATATCATTATTGCCTAGTGTTGGTTAGTTACATGCAAGATATTGCACTTTTCGTGGTATGTGCTTAATAATATTATTGTTATATTATATTATTTTTTTTTTTTCATCATGATGTTTTGCTTGGTTAGGCATTTTAGAAATAATGATTGTTTTTTTATTTTTTCTTAAATTTTGCAAACAAGTGCTCTAGCATTCAGTCCTTTCCGAAATTTTTTTAAATAAATAAACCATGCATATAACTCATGTAAAAATGTAAATAACATTACACTCTATTTGCAACCTTTTGACATTGACAAAATATAGTAAATTCTTGCCTAAAAAAAAGCTTTTTATTTGCTTTGAAATCACAAAAAACTTCAAAAAAAGGCTTCAAGTTCAAATCAAGTTTTCTTCCTGACAGGCATGTGACAAAAGATTCCAAAATCACTTCTATACACTTCTATTTATCCCCACTATTATACCCCAAAAGGAATTTCTAAGGTCAAGAGGTTTATATAAGATGTCATTTCGTGACACGGTGGAGCGTTATACTGAACGTAAATAATGATCTATTTACCAAAAATAAACACGTATTACATCAGAATTCTATTTTAGTTAATAATTTGACTGTTGCTACTTTTCTTGGTGCAAGAAATAGCATTTTAAAGCAGCTCTGAGATTTGGTTTTTAATGTTTATAAAAAGTTGATTTTGTAATTTATTTTGAAGTTGATTCCAGTCCATTATTACATACTTTGTAAAGATTTTAATTATAGAATATTTCAGGTTTGAAAACGTAATTATCATCATTAATTCGATAAATATTTACATAACAATTAAATAACAACTTATATATACATTTAATTATTTATTCTAAATAAAATTACACAAACAAATATATTGTTCTTTTCTTTTTTCATCTTTCTTTTAACTTTTAAATACAACATCAAAAATATAATTTTAATATAGTTTAAAATTCAAATAACAAAAATTAGAATTAAATCACATCAAACTACAACAAAATGTATCACCTGTCCTGTAAAATAGAAATCTTCGTGCACGTAAACACATTTTTTTTTCTCGTACAAAATACATGCTTGGCGGAAACATCTAACTGGCTTGCAGATATCGCATTTAATCTATTAATGCCATTAAAGGATTTAATCAAACTATTTTTTACTAAATGGTAATAAAATTAGTTACAAGTAATAAAATGTCATACCCATTTATCAATCTTTTGATTTTGATTCTTTTAATTCTTTCGAAATGGCGACAAATTCGACACATTATTTTATTCCAATTTTCTTGATCTATAACAAAACATTATTTAACAATTTGGAAATTTTATGAGAAATTCAAATTTAGTTGAAAAAATATTTAGCAAAAACTGTACCAAGTCTTTTCGATAATTGTTTAGTTCTTCTAGTGAAAAAGATTGCACCAAATCTTCCTCATTTTTAAAGTTCTCAGCAAACTACAATTTTTTTAAATTTCTGTATCTTTTCTTAAAGTTAAAAAAAATGTGTCAAATTTCATATACATATATATATGTATAAATATATATCTTTGTATATATATATATATATATATATATGTATATATATATATATATATATATATATATATATATATATATATATTCATATATATATATATATATATACCCAGCTTACATTGACAGACGGGTACCGTATGGTTTTTGTCTGGGCTTACGGGAACGGGATTTTGACGGTAAGTGTGTTGGTTTCCAGACGGGTCCCATATGGTAATAAAATCAAGCATATTTGCCCGTTAGTGTTTTATCTGGTTTTTATCAGGGCCGATAACCTGGGGATTGACGGGTTTCCCAAAAGTTCCCAAAAGGTTTAAAAAAAATCATAACAAAACTTACTCGATGGCTGCCATTTTTAATTCGTATTGTGCGTGAAATAAGATTAAAAATTAAACTTTTATGCATTACATTTTTTGAATACAATATATTTACATTGTAATTAAAAAGAATTTTTTTTGATGTGTTTTGTCACTGTAAAACTCAGTTAAAAAGACGTTGTTTTAAAATTTCATTTATTTATTATCATTATAAAAGAATTTATATATATACATATATATATACAGATATACTATTTTTTAAATGAATTTACAAAGTTCAACATAATTGTTAAACATATTTTCCAGAAACTATTAAATATGTAGTAAATGTTCCATTGAGACACTGTATGCATTTTTAAAATAATCAAAATATAAAGTTTTGTTTCTGCTAGTCACTAGCAGAAACAAACTTTATATTTTGATCATTTTAAAAATGCAAACAGTGCAAACTAGCAGCTAGTGATATAATTAGATAATAAATGGATTGAGTTTAATCAAAATATTAGTTTAGTCAGAAACATTTAAAAAGAGCAAACAGACGAATAAAATGTAATGGATAGGTTATATTTAGGGAATTAAAAGCTTTTAAATCGTTTTTATAGATCCACTCTTTTCCATTAATTTTTCTTTATTTTATGCAAGCAAAATGACTTATGTTAACGAAGTTTACTCACCGTCAGATATAAATAAAGATATAATTAGATGTATAAATGCAAAAATATAGCTTTATTGTTATGCATCAACCTCATTTTTTAATCATTGATTTTTTTTGACTTTGATTTAAAAATGTACACTTGCAATATATGACTGAATCAGTGCTTAAAATTAGTGAAATATGTAGGAGAATTATCTTGCCACACCACTCTCCTTTCTAAGCACAACATTCACATCAGTTATAACCGTTGTGTCATTTATTACACTTTACAAATGCTCTAGCTGGTGCATCACATATGATAACAGCAAGATTGATTTTAAACTCAATATTTTCATAGATAAACCATCTTTTGCAAGAACTTGGAAATCTACCAAAAAATTATGTAAACAATTAAGGTGACCTGCTATTCTCATTAACTGAGTTTTTTTACTCTTTTTTCACAAACTCTACTTTTTTCAAATCCTGTACTCTGAATGTACTCATTTGTATAATTTTTTACTCATTTGTATTTCTAAAACATTTTTTTTTATATTATTTCATTTCAATTTTATTAATTAAATATTTCAAATTATTTTGACAGTGATTTGAATTTCATGCGCACATATTGCTAGCCGTTTCCAGCACGTCAGAGGACAGGGCAAACACCAGAAACAAGTTTGAAAGTGATTTAAATTTTGAACGCACATATGGCTGCCATATTCAACACAATTGAGAGGCCGTATTATGAACCTGGAGAGATAGATAGATACTACAGACCTCTTTTTCGAACAATGTCAAAATTACATTTGTGTAAAGAGATGGATCCAACATTTGCATATGTAACCAGGCTGATCTTTGATGTGCACTATGTACGGCATGTTTGACAGTCTTGACGCATGCGTAGTATGTACAGCAAAGTTTTATTATCCATTTATTTATTTACATAAAAGAATAAAAAAAACCTTACTGTACATACTACGCATGCGCTTATGGTTAATTAACCATAAAAACATAAATTACAAACTTAGTTATTATTTACAAATTGATGTTCGGTGTCACTCATATTAAAAACAAGTCAATAGAGCGACACCTTCAAAAAATAAACGAATAAAATAAAAATAATGAGAAAGAAAGAAAACTACATTAATACAAGTAATAAAAAAAGAAGTATAAGGAACAATACTATTTAAAAAGTTGGAATTAACACATAAATATAAAAGAGTAACGCTAAGAAAAAAAAAAAAAGAGAGAAAATGAACGAATGAGATAAGATGAGTGAGAAAATATGTAAGAGAAAACAAAAACTTAATCACATAAGTTCAGAAGAATAATGTGACAGAAAACTTTTTTTGCAGAAAAATATTAAGAAATAAATTAAAGACAAATTTAAATAAAAAAATATATACATACACTACTATATACAATATTAAAGGCTATATTAAAGCCTATAAACTGACCGCTTTGGAAGATTCCAATTGTTGTCCAGGCACTAATGCTGCTGTTGAAAAGCTATTTTCACTAAGGAATGATTATTGGAGCAGTGAGAAGTTGCAACTTTCTGTAAAAACATTATATGCCGTCTTAACAGTCAAATTTAATATAAAATTTAATATGTTCGGATGCAGCTACATTATTAGACGAACATCCTGATCTAGCAAAAAAAATCCACTCTGACGAAAAATACGTTTTAAAAAAAAATAAAGTTTTTTATCGTTTTATCTTTCTTTTTTTTTTTACTTATGAAATACTTGCAAAGTGTACTCTTTTTGAACAAAAGTTATTTGGTCCCCTTAAGATAATTAAAAATGGAAATTGATTTTTGGGCTCTGATGGCAACATTTATAAATAGCAACAACTTTTGTCAAATTTTATTTAAAGTTTACATGTATGTTTTGAATTTTGTCACTATTTTAGATTTTCATTGAATAAATTCTTATATAAAAATATATTTTATCTAAAATATTTATGGAGTATTATTTTTTTTTACTATCAGCTATCAAGATGATTAAACTGACTTGATCAGTTTCAGCATTAATCTGAAGTTAATGAGTTTATAGCTGAAGCTGAAATATCAGCTGCAACCCCTATTTTATAGACAACATAGTTAATGTGATGTATATACATTATGATAATAAATGTTTTTTTTTTTTTATACTCAAATACTTATTTTTTTATTTTATAACACATTTAAAAAAATTTTTTTAAACACATGTTTTTTTATAATGTTTAATACTTACAGGTGGTTGCACCCCAAAAGCCACGCGAAAGTAGGAGGGTCTAGATTTATTTTCTAGGGACAGATCATAATTTTGTTAATATGGGTTCTGAAAGATAAGCCTAAATAGGGTTCTTCCTGGTAGGTATGGTTTTTTAAGTCTATGTATGTCTGGGTTATGTATTTTATGTCTAGGTATGGTTTTTTAAGTCTCGCTTGAGTTCTTTTTCTAGAATGTTGAAGTTAACCACACTTTTTTTCATGCACCCCAAATACAACATTGACAAAATTGGCTATAAAATCTAAACTATTTGGAATTAAGACCTGATTTTTTGTAGAAGATAGTTATAATAAATTATTCTTAGGATGATTGTATCATTGCTAACTTAAATTTTTAGGATGCACTTCAATGTACCACAAAAACCACATCATGTGCACCCCAAAAACCACATTGGTTATTTGAATATTTTAGAAAATATATAAAATAATTCAATAAAAAAATTTTAGGATGTACTCTAAGATAGTAGCTCTTTGTCATCATAAAAAAAAAAAAAAAAAAAGTTAATGTATTGTGGAAATACTACCATTGAACTATGTTATGTTTTTTGTTGTTTTAGAATTTTGTTTAATATAATATTATAAAGTAAAATGAAACCATCATCTGCATTACATCTACGTATAAACAAATCAAGAAATCTCAGTACTTAAGCTGATGCCATAGTGGCCAGAAAACACACAAATGATAAAAATAAACAGTTAGAAGCTGCAATAAATTGGTGCAAAAAATTTAATGGAAGGGGACAAGCAGCATTAAAGACAGGTTTGTTTCCCCTTATTAAAGATAGAAAGACAATCAACAGGCGATTAGATGGAAAAGTGATTAATGGAAAAGAAAGAGATTATTGTACTATACTTACAGATGATGAAGAAGCATCTGTTGTGCGTTTTATAAAAAATAAGAACAGATGTTTACAGGCAATTAACAAACAGGACATAACCAAATTAATTATTAATGTGCTTCGTGTGAGAGATTACACTAATACAAAAATGAAAGGTGGACGGAAGTTTCAAAAGTTATCATTAAATGCTCGAGCTGCTCTAGAAAAGGGAAAGTAAGTTTAATTGAATTCATTTAATCTACAATGATCCTATAAAAGTATGTAAGACGGGTAATATGACTCTTTTCTTTATGTAAATATTCCATTTTATAGAATGGGTCGATCATTTTGGCTTCGTTTTAATGCTAAACATAGCAGCCTTACAATCAAACGCCAAGGGAGTGTCTCGATAAACCGTGCACTTAATTGTTCAAGAGAAATGGCATGTAATCATATAGGTAAGTTATTAATGAACAAATATAAATTCATAAATCTGAATGTACTTTTTTTTTAATTTGTTCATTTCCCTATAATAACATTATTTCAGATTCCCTTGCTAAAGAACTAGTAGATGTTGGTATTATGATAAATAAAAAAATGATTGAAACAGGGGTTTGGAATGGCACTGTTGATACATGCCGAATATTTAATTGTGATGAAACACTCCAGTTTATTAATTATGGAATTGATGGAACCACTTCTGGATTATTTTATGCTGGCAAAAGAGATGCATGTCAAAGAATGTATAGAGAAAACAGAGAATGTGTCACAATTCAACCATTTGTTTCATTTTCAGGTATGCTATAATATGTTATGGTTCAAGAAAAAATTGAATATAAATAAATACAAGCATTAAAAAACTTTTTTATTTTTTATTTTTAGGCGACATATGTATGTGTCAGGTAATATTTAAATGTACTGGTATTACTAGTTCTATGGTTTCAACAGAAGCAGTAAATAAAATTCCCCATTTGTTGGTCACAACTACAGATAATGGAGTATCAACCCATAAATCTTTCTTGGCAGCATTGAAAGAGTTTAATGTCTACTTCAATGAAAAAAATGTTAAGCGACCCATCGTCTTATTATCAGATGGACATAGCTCTAGACTAGACTTTAATGTATTATCTTTTTTGGAGTCCAAAAGAATTCATCTTTTTCTTACTCCACCAGACACAACAGGAGTTACTCAACTTCTTGACCAAGTAAACAAGAACATTCATAGTGAGTATCATAAGCAAAAAGACTATGTTTTCTGATATCTGTTTCTTAAACAAAGAAGCTTTTATGTTAGTTTTAGCTAATATATGGGACAAGTGGACAACCAAAGAAACGCTTGTAAAATCTGCTAAAAGGGTTGGTGTTGCCGAAAATGCATTGAGTGTTGATTTTATGCAAAAAGACAAATTCTAACGAGCAGAAAACTGTATTGAACCAGAAAAACAGACTTCTCCACTAATTTCTTCGCCGGATAAAAGACGTGGTTCAGCAAATTATTGGAAATCAAAATTTGAACAAGCGATGGAGTTGATTGATGAACTTCATGAAAAGAGCATTCAGCTGGAAGAAATACCTGGTTTTATAACAACCAAAAAGATAAAGCCAAAATTAACAAAAGATGCAACACGTGTTACCCAAGTACATGGATCAATGACTGCAAGCGATGTAATAACTCTAGTTGAAAGCATAAAAAGAAAAAAAGAAAAAGAAAAGGAAAAAAAAAAGAAAATGCTGCAAAAAAAAAAGAGGAAGTTATAAGACTCTATACAAGATTCTTTATAACATGTAAGCTTCAATGCTATTGCGAGGAGATAAAATGTAAAGCTTTTGGCTTAAAGCAGTGTCCAACCTGCCTCAATATAATGCGGTCCATTTGCAGCAAAGCAAACTGCAAAGTAAATGGAAAAAACCCAGAAATGATTTTATCTGCAGCTGCTAGAAAGAAATAACTGTGATATTCAAAATCTTTTTTATTGAATGAACTATTTGTTTTAAATTTGATGTAAAGACTTGTTCTGGATAAACTTTTTTTTTTAACTTTTTCTTAGCGTACCCCAAAAACCTCATGTTTAAAATGTAATTTTTAAACTTTTTTTTACAAGTTTCCCTTCTACTTATAATAAAAATGGTTTGATTTATGTAAATAGCATATAAAAGATAAGCAAACTAGATGGGATTTGCAAACTTAATCTAAAAAACCAATATTTTATAGCAATATTACTTAAAACTCAATTATTTTTCTCAGCACTTTTTAAGTTTAAAACGGTTGTAAAAAAAACTCCTTCATTGTTAATATTGATTTCTTTTGTTTTAATTGTTGCTGAAACATTCCTTTATGAGAAAAAATTTCTCATATGGTTTTAAAATGCATATTTAAATTTTTAGAGCCTTTTAACTGACCGCGTTGTTTTTGAGGTGCCTTGGTTTTTGGGGTGCATCTACCTGTAGGAAATACTGACTTTTGCCGAATATTCCTTAGACAAAAATAATATTTACTTACATTACTCTAATCAAGGTTATAAAAAACGGTAATATTTACTCAAGTTATTATATTTGTCCCCCAAAGTTAATGTAGCTCTATTATACATAAGTCTCTCACTAATTCTAATTATAAAAAGTTATTGCCATTATTACTATAATTATATTTACTAACCTGTTATTATTAATATTTATCAAAAACACATTCTGGTTGTTGAAGTCACTTTTACTCATATCAATATGCAAATATTGTCAACAGTCAGAATGCACCATGCAGAAATATTCTTTAACATGCTGCAAAATACAAGATATACATAAGATACATATCATATAAGACCTATTGCCTGGAACTTAACATTTTATATTATTTAACTTACTGTAACTCAATTATAATAAATAAGCATATGGCTTTAATCTATATAATAACTAACATCTTTTTTTAGTTATTGTTATTTTTGTAAAAGTTATTAAGTTAAATTAAAGTTTTATAACTAAAGTTTGAATGCAAAAGTTTATATCAATAAAAATTTTTATCAATATTATAAACATAATTATTATATTACAAGTTTTTAAAGTATAGGTATTGTAAGTATAAGTTATTATATGTATATTATGTCGTTAAAAGCATTCTGAACATCTTAGTGGTGTGTTAAATTAAATTAAATTTTGACATGGTGACAAAGTTTTCTTTAGACTTAATGCATCTAGTATGCCTAGGGGTAATGCGAAGATTTCTCAACTAATGGTTGAATTGCCCAAATGTTGTAAATTGTCTCAGATTACAGTCAATACTTTTTCTGGCAGATTGTTCCAGATACGTCATTACATTCCAAGAAATTTTTATAGAAAATCAAGGTCTTAATTAGATAATAAAAATTGGAAAACAACTGAGCCTAGACTATTTATAGTAAGCACTGGATCAGTTGTTTAAAGGGAATGGTTTACCCAAAAATGTTTTCAATTTTTTAGATTTTTCATTTGTAGTTCTACTTTCATAATGTTTCATTTTGTTGAAAAAATATGTTAATTTTGCTTTTCAGCTACTTATCTTTATATGTGAATACTTATCATAAGGATTTTTCATAAAGGATTATCATAAGGATTAACTAGTGTACAATGTCCATTCATTAGCACATATAGGAAATTATGCAGTTAAATTTTAGGTACTTGATAGATGTCCCTCTTTCAAATACAAAACTTTTTCAGGTCAATTAAAAAATTTTTGTCTAATGGTCTGATTTGCAAATTTAGGGGCCCTTTTACAAATGTAAGGATTATTTTTTTAAGGATATTTATTTAGATTTTGTTTATCTATTGGAAAAGTTTTTAGGAAATTTGGGGTCCTTATGACAGGTTTTTTTTAGAATGGGGGGCTTCTATCTAGTAGCCAAAGCCCTGTATATAAGGTATATACAATATATATCAAATTATATATAATATAAATAAAAAAATATATTTATTTAATAATTTTATATATTTTATTTATCAGTAACTAAAGGAATGTTATCAATTTATTATATGAATCATAAGCATGTGCTTATCTATTACAAGTTACTTTGATGGTGAAAATTACATTTTTTATCTGAAGAGAGTTTTGAGAAATTGTAAGAGTTTTATAACATATTAAAATTAAAGTATGTGTTACTAATAAAATTTAAAACTAACAATTAAACTTAATTTTTTACAGTTCATATTAAAACGAGATATTGTGTAAAGAGGTTTTCAAAGAGGTTGTTTTAACAACAATGGAAAAGTTTCCGATTCCCGAGATAAACGTGAAAGCATTTGATACATGATTAAAGAATCGTTCAAAAGTTTGCTTAATTTTGACAGTGTTATTTTAATTACTTTTTTTTTTTGAAATAAACCAATCAACTTATATGTAAATTTGCTTTTTCTGTAAATTTTAATCT